CTTAAAAGCATTGCTATATTCTTATCATCTGATTCATTTGAAGTGGTGTTAAAGATAGCGACAAAAAGCAACCTTGCTAGAGAAATGTGGGGTACAGGCTTTTGATGACTAGTATTCAACTAGTTGAGTATGGGATTCAAATATAAATGAATCTTTTCAAGGGAGAAAGTAAGTCAGCAGGAATTCACAATCTGTATGGTGTTGTTTGATGCCAGAAGGATATAAATGTACAGTTTTGCAGGCAGAAATTGTCCTGTTTAGCTGGAGAAGCTCAACTGGAACGCATTTCAGAGGTTCTGTGCTGTTTCAGGGAGAATAGAATGGAAAGACAGAGGGGTTCTGCTGGGCAAGGAGTAAATAAAGCCAGTCAGTAGGATTTTCCTCTGATGTGGAGTGTGGCCTTATCTCCCTCTGAAATTAGGGGTGAAATTCTTGTTGCTTTTAGTGCTGCCAGTCAGCCTTGCCTTGAAGTCTTCTGAAAGTCTCTTCACGTTCTTTCAATTTTTACAACTGTTTTTGTAGGAATTTACAGGACTGGCCTTTCAGCCCAGGGCATATCTTTGTCTTTGTTATAGTATAATTCACAGCACTATGCTTCTGATTTTTTTTTTTCCCCTATTTTTTCCTACTGTCTATCTTTTTTTTTTTTTTTCCCATCCTTTTACCCTCTATCCATTTATCCATTTTCCTACTCTGATTATTGTGTGGGGTTGTTTTTTTTTTGTTTGTTTGTTTGTTTGTTTGTTTTTTTTTTTTTTTTGTGGGGGTGGGGAGGGATGAATTTGTTTTTAAAGGGCTTCCCCTTTCTTTTTCTTGCTGTATCACCACTCCCCTCAGATTCATGTTAACGGAAGTACCTGGTGATTCCCTGCACTAAGGCTCCTTCTAGTCTTGGAACTGAAGGTGCTAGGCACAGTAAAATGGACTCTGCACTTCGCTTACAGTTTCTCAGTTTCTAGTGGTATCTTGGAACAACTTGCTTCTCCAGTCCAGTTGGTAGAACATGATTACAAATGGGATGATCAGATGACTGTTTTTCTCCTAATTCCCTGTTTACTTTCATTTTTTTAATCACCATTCTCCCAAGGAAATACAGGTTCTTCTTGAGCTGGACACACAGACTTAGAGATTATTCACCATGGGCAATTCATTTCCCATTGATTTTTTTGTTAAAATGTCTATTTTGTTTGTGTCAGGAGAGTCTCAGGACCTAGGCTCCATCTGAAGTTATTGCATGAAAGTGGGTGAAATCCATGTCTTGCAGGTTTTTTCAGTTTAAGGAAATGTTGTATGTTGTCTTACTGTGAGTAAAATATAGAACAACAACATGCTGATAAATATGGCATATGATCTTAACGTACTGTGGCTTTATTAAAGTACAGATGGTGTACTTTCTAAGTACCTAGAATTGTCATAGGAAGGATGTGGCTCCCAAGCTGTTAGTATGTGATTTAAATAAATAAATAAATAAATAAATAAATTTGGCTTTGAGAACATCTAGCAATCTAAGGGAATTTTAGCAGAAATGGCCATTTTGTCTGTTTTGCATGTTTAAGCCAACAGAATATAACGTGGTTTTCACTTTGAGTTCTCATTTAGTTTAAGAGTTTGCAAAATGAGCTGCATGTCACCAACCCGTGAGGCCCGTTATCTGATTGCACTGAAGAAGTTGTAGTGCAGTTCTCAGTATTGCACCGAGACTGTCATCCTCTAGATAAATTCATTTAGTGATAAATGTTGCCTAGCATGACTGTCCAAAGTGATGAAAAATCTAATCTGAGTCTGATGTCTGCATAACTCTGCTATGAATAATGCAGTAGAAGTCTGGAATGCCACTTGCACACCCCTTTATGTTTGAATGCAAAAATTTCCACTCAAGCAGAAGCCACTCTAATGAGTGGCTGAATCACTCTAACAGGCATTCAGAAATTTCACCTTTACTGGAAGAAGTCGTTGGTGTGTCTCGGAAAAATGGTTGTATTTATGTATCTTTCTGCACCATACAAAGTGTTGAGTAAATTTTATAGGGAAGAATACACAGAAGAAGCATTTTGGTCATCTGTTTTCTGCCTGCTTTGTATGGATAAAAAATTTGGGTGAAAAATCACGTTGGAGCCATTTTCACCAATCTTTGTATGGGCTGTGCAAAGGGAAGGCTCCTTATTGCTTTTCCTCCCACTGATGGCTTTAAAACTGATGTAATGTAAAAAAAAAAATGGAACCATAATTTATTTTGCTCATTCTTTTTTATCTTTTCCCTTTGTGAATTTTTCAAGTCTTGAAAATGTGTGCATAAAAAACAATTGCACGTGAAATAAACAAGACAACTCACTTCACTTGATCGCAGCACTATGAATTTAAAGTGTTAGAAGTCTGTTGATTAAAGCTTTTATGTGGTTGAGAGAATGTTATTCACCGCCTCTGCTGACCTCAGGACATAAATTACCAGGAAGCTGTAAGGATCTTGCAGTGAGTCTCTGTGCAGAGCAGAATCCTCCTTGTGGCAGACTGGTTGTCCTCCAGCTGTGCCTGCAGGTGCCCCAACAGTGCTCTGGGTACAGCTGCCAGCCAGCTCCTGCCTGCCCAGCACTCTGTGCTGGAGGCCTCTCCTCTGCCCAGCTGTGGCCCAGGAGGGCTGTGGCCACTTGTACAGCCAGCAACTGGTGTCTCAATTCCTCAGCTGCCTTAAAAGACCATTTACATCAGTAACATGCACTTGATTTATTATAATGATCTCTTTTTTTTTTTTTTTTTTTAAAGACACTTTATACAGCTAAGCTTTGCTTGTAGCCATTTTGTTTAAACTGTGCCTTCAGAAGGATTGTTTTCAGCTTGTTTAGAAGCATGGCAGAGGAAGCATGATTTATAGTAACTAAAGTTGTTTGGGAACTGATCCACCTGCTGCTTCTGTCTACACAGAAACACTCGGGCCAAGCTGCAGTAAACCCATGTACCTGGGTTGTAAGCAGGGCATCTGCTGTCACTTACTGTGTCAGGTCTGTGGAGCTGTGTGCCTGACCCTCTGAACTGTGTGCTTTGAGAGCCTTCTGCCTTCACATTTGTATGTCATTCACTGAGAAAATAATTAGATAAGAAAGCTGAATGCGAAATCAGCGGTGGAGCTCTCAGCAGGTAGTGCCAGCTGTTACTGTCTGTTACAGCCTCTGCAGAATTGAAAGGACAGGGGTTTACATTGTGTTCTTACCATTCCCTTGAACAAGGGACATGCAGACTGCATCGTTCCCTAGGGGCACTGGATGTATGCTGGGAAGAGACCCTTGGTGGTGGAAAGATGCTGAGAGCTGATCTCTCTCTGCAGCATGCTTCAGGGATGAACTGCTCCCTGTTTATGGGCAATAGAATGAGAAAAAAAGGTGCTTTATGGCATTTCTTCCCTTGTCGTAGCCATGAAAATGCCAGACAGTTTAGTACCAGAATAAACAAATATTTATTCTGCTCCTTCTTCAGTCAGACTGCTTCCCATTTGAATTGTTTAAGATCTTAATTGTTACGAAGAGTGTGTACAGGAGGAACTCATCAATGTGTATGAATACCTACAAGGAGGGTACATAAGATGAAGCCAGGCTCTTTCCAGAGATGCCTAATGGTGTAACAAAAGGCAGTGGTCATGAGCTGGAACACAGGAGGTTCCCCCTAAACCCCAGGAGCAGTCTGTGCTATGTGGGTGCCGGAGCACTGGCACGGTACACAGGAGCTGTGTGTGGGGTCTCCTTTGGAGATCTTCAGAAGCCACCCAGGCACGTGTGGGCACCTGATCTGGGCAGCCCTGGGCACAGAGGGTCCTGTCCACCTCGATCGTTCTGTGACTTGAAATGGCATCGTTCCTAAGTAAGAGCTGCTTGTCAGAAATCTTGTAGATATGTAGTCTCAGTGTTCTAGCAGGTGAAGGCAATGAGTTTTGATCCTTGTTAATTAAAGGATGAGGATGCAGAAGCAGACTGTGTCGTGTACGAAGCAGGAAGACCCTTGTGCTTCTAGGAACGGGCTCTGTTTGGTGCTGCAGCTCACACCCAGGCATGAATGAGAGCATCTGTGTCTCCTGCATTTCTAGTTCAGGTTTGGGAAACAGGCCACAGTATCCAAGTGCTCTGTAAGTAGTGAGGCAGGTGTGGTATGGAGGTGGTGAGGAACAGTGAACGTAGAAATGGTAGAGGAAAGAACTTCATGATAAGTGGCAATACACTGAACAGAGGTTTGATGAAAGAACAGGGTGATTATATGAGATTAAACCTAGATGCTTGGTGAACTGAGGTGAACTGAGTAAAAGCTTGGTATTTCAGTCATTTGCTAATTTATAGCGCAGTCTTCTACCAGGACTGCCAGAGCATGAGGACCACACAGGGCCTTAAATATTCTATGATTCTATGATTTTGGTGAAAATGAGGCAACAGGAGTTAAAGGTCACTGTCTGGCATATGCATTGGTTCCTTTTACAAACACTTATTCTCTCTGTGTAAATAAAGAATAAACAAGGGAGTAAGTATTAATCTCAAGTCAATTAATTAAAGTCCAAGTAAAAAGATCAACCTCCCCGGAGGTGTTTCCTGTGTATATTATATTGGTTTTGAGTGTCGCAGTTCATCAACAGCATTAGGAAATTGCATCTGCTAGAATGTTTTAAATACGAATATTTTAAAAATCTTTGTAATGTTCAAGAGGCTTCCTGTTTCATTCATTTTTTAATTACATTTCCCTAATTACCGTGTAAAGCAGAAAATACAATTCATTCTATAAAACAGAGTTTCTTTAAAGAATCAACTGCACTATGGTCACTAGCAGCACAGCCTCCCTTTATACAAGAGCTTCACAGTAGAAGTGAAAAAAATTCCTTTGGTAATGCTTTCAGCTAAATCAACAGTTATTCATCTTATTGTCACAGCAAAGAAAATGCAGCAGCTCTGCCAGAATATACTCTTTTTAAAAGTATGTTGCTTTCTTTCCCGCTCCACCTTTTTAACAGAACAACTGCTAATAAAGATGGAATTTACCAGTTTGAACTGGATGCAAAATGTAAGGCAATTCAGGACAACATTTTGTCATCATCGATCAAGAAGAAAAGGTAGGTTCTTGCTATGCTTTCTGCTTTGTTTGTTTTAAATAAAGACTAACAGGTTGTCTGCTTCTTTTACATAATTCTTAATGATAGTAATGTGGAACTGCACGAGAACAAATTGAAGATGTTCAACCAGTGTTTGCTTGCATTTTTTCTTTCACATCTGTTAGATTTATTCTAGTTTGGATTTAAAGAAATAAAAATCAAAATCATAAGTCAACAAGATTTCTCATTCCCAGCTAGCAACATTTTATTCTGAGATATTTACAAAAAAAGCAGACCAGAATTTGTGAGGTACAATTTTAGCCTTAATGTCCTCTTCCTGACTGGCAAACACTCCTGCTACAAGCAGCATTAGTTAATGGTTCTTTTCTTTGTGTTCACTAGAGTAAATATAGATATGTAGTACAAAAACTTATTGAGTAATTGCACTCATTGTTGCAGTAACTACTTCACAGGAAACTAATTATTCAATTTTAGATGTATGAAAAATTCTCCACCCCAAATCCATTTCTGGATTCCACTTGCTGTTCCGCCTTTTCCTGATGTGGAAAAACAGTCTTTGCTAGTGGCTCTGCTCAATTTCCTCCCACTTAGTGTAGAAGTTGGAGAAGCAGCCCATTGCTTCTGACATATAGCATCTTGCCTATATGGATGCAGCAACATATATAATATTGTAAGTAAGAAGAGCATCCTGTTAGGACCAAGTGCTAGCTTAAAATTAATTAAGTACTATAGTATTTTTAAAATTGGAAGCTATTTTTAAACTCCATTTATGAAGAGAAGAGGAATAGAATGAGAAACCAAAACTCTGCTAAAAATATTTACATGCTTTTCTCCATTCAAAGGACTGTAGAAGCCAAAATTTCCTTAACATTAAAGAACTTTTAAATTGTGATTTTAAAGCTTCTCCTGATTTTTTTGCCCTTTCTCACTTTCTCATTGCTTTCTAAGATCTTTCACCAGTTTTTTAAGTCACCCTATTCCCAGATTCCATCTTTACTGTTTCATTTTTTTTCTCCCCTATGTTTCCTCCCACCACTATTTCTTCTCATGAGCAACACTATCACTGAATTTTTAACTTGTGAAAAATGACAGGCTACCATGCTAATGTTGCACTTCTAGTAAGAGCTGAAACAGAAGTCAAAGAGTATAGCTGAAGTGTATGTTTAATACCAAGAGAAGGACAACCAGTCACTGTGTTGCCTCCAAAATCCAGCTATGGCAGTATAAATGCTGTTATTTATTCCGTGTACTATGAAGTTGTAGAGGTTGCAGGAATGCAGACTTGCTTTTCACATCCAGAACATTCTGAAGCTGCTTGTAGGAAAAACAAGAAAGCATCAGACCTTTATTTTATGGCTAGCAAAAAAGGAGCTGAGCCATTAAATGAGGCAGAAGATGAACTGGGTAGGTGGGAAAAGAAATTGGTATTTGGAATGAAGGAGCAAAGGATTGCTTTGTGCTGTGAATACTGCAGCTCATTGCCCCTCACTGAGAGGAGATGTTGGGATCTTTGCTGCTTTTCTTATGTGTGACCACAGGCATGGTGTATAAATACTTTACATTAAGGGACATTCTGGACACTCTGGTCTCTTAAATTGGCCAGAACCAGAAAAACTTACTAGTTGTAATCTTGTCAAATGATTTGATAGTAAAAAATGCTATTTAAGTATAACAGGTTTGTGCTGGTGGTGATAAAGAGCCTGAAATGCTGAGTTCTTTTGGCACGTTTTCATTTTTATTCTAGAGTGAGCTCTGTGTATGGTCTCCTGAGGGCTTTAAAAACTGATAGTTGTTTTTGTGGTATTAAAGTGTCCAAAAGCACAAGACAGCCTCCATTTCTCTGGCTTTTCCTTCTCCTGTTTTTATTTGTTTCTTCCTAGATCATAAGCCACCGAGGAGGAAGATATCCCTTTTTCATACCTGCTGCTCAATTTTCCTTCTAATTCAAGTAGCTTTCTTTCAAGTATAGTTCCACCAATAGCCAGTCGGGCTGCATCCATCTCTGTTCTGACGTTTTACTTATTGTCTCCCTATTGTATCACCACTGCTGTTCCTGCCATTGTCTTTAGTTATCCACCAAAAATTAGAAGATACTTCATCAATGCCTCAACTATGCATAATAATTGCACTTTACCCACTGCAGTTAATGTTGACAGTCAATGCATACCTGACAATTACCATAGGCATAAAACCCTACCAGGGGTTATTTGCCACCAAGGCTCATGCAGTATAAGTCAGTTTCCTACAGCAGCAAATTATTCTAATGTTTAGGATGCAGGTGGCAGGCAAAAACAGGACCAAACATGTTTCTTTCCCTATTCTCAACACTGTCTTGTCCACATATTGTTATAGCTTTTTTTTTTTCCTCTTAGTAATAAAGTTATTTTAGCATCAGTGAATATGTATCGTTAGCTCCTGGGTGCCACTGGAAATGTATGTATTGTTCCAGCTCTTTAAAATGAAACAGTGGAGAAGAGGATTGTGTAGGTTACAGCAGAGCTATGGAATGATGTCTTGATGGCCTTTCTGGACTCACTCCATTGGAGTGAGTCCCTGAGGCTCCTTCAGAGGAGGAAATAGTAAAATAGGCTTTCTGAGAGGCAAACTAAGCTTTTGGGGCTGTAAACCCAGCTGCAGAAAATTCCAGAACTTTATTTTGAGTCTTTAAAAAAATAGATAAAAATCTGTGGGAATACTGCCTATGTTCAAGTAGAGTTCATCCCATGGAACTGGCAGGATGGAACCTTTATGCTGGGGTAGGCGGCTGCAGCGGCCTCGCAGAGCTCCTGTCCCCACAGTTTGCTGCTGAGGTATCTGTGATGCTTGTGGTGCTAAGCCAGCACTGGCAAAGGTGGAATTTGGCAGACTGTGGTGTCTGTAGGTCACAGGAGAAACACAGCCAGAGGCACAGGGTGAGCGGAGGGCTGTTCCCTGTTGTACAGACCTGGGAGTGTGGCTTCCAGATGAACAGCTAAGCCCTTGGCCACCCCTGAGAGGGATTCCATCCAGCTGACAGCAGTGGAAGGGCAGCAGTGTTCTTGTTCTAACACGTGGTGTTGCCCTTTATGCAGGTACACAGCGTATGGTACATGTACTAGAAGGTCCTTAGCTTCTGACAGTGAGTGCCTATGCTTTTTCAGGGGCCTTAATACCAGCAGTGTGCAAGACACTTATTTTTCTTCTCACCAAATGTTTCTCTGCAGCTTGCTAATAACTTGTCAGTCAGTGCTGTATCTTTCTAGTAACTTTTCATTTCTGACTCTGATATTCATCTTATCAGTATCTTTAGGCTAGAATTTGCTTTTTTTCTGTATTTTTTTTCTCCTAGATAATGATAGTATAAATAACTTTCCATATCCTGTTATCTTTTCTTTTTTCTCCTAAATCCCAGCATCTAACATTTATTTATTGTTTAGCCTTAAGGAGTAAATGATGGGTGATTCAACATTAGGCTGTCCTGATCCTGTGCTTCCATCCCCCCTTCCCCTGCAGCATCTGCTGCCTGTCCTGCCCTGTGCTGCTGGCACTTGTCTGACCCCACAGACAGAAGCCCATTTGGGTAGGTGCTTCAGTAAGAAAGTGGTTCCATTTCCCTGGCTGCAGCTGCAAGGCTTCAAGGAGGCAGCTACCCGAATAGGAAGGCCTTGCTCTCAGTTTCTCCACTCTCATCACTAATTTATTCTGCCTATGGAGTTTTATGAAATCTTTCCTGATACAGTGAAACACACCAAAAATATGCATGCTGTGTGCTTTATTTGTTTATATATATATATATATGTATATGTATATTTTTAAAACAAACAAATTCTGAATTTTTTTTATTTATTTTTTTTTTCCATGGTAGTGAATTAAGTGGCCTGTGAAGGTATTTGAGTGGTACAAAAGCTGATAAAACAGGCTGGGAGTTGTGTAAGTACCAGACATGTCATGAGAAAGAGAACAGATGTGTAGCTGAGCTGAAAGGAGAAAGAACACACCATGCCAGGTCAGAGCAGCTGCAGATGCATTTAAGCCAGTTGTACTCTGCTCCCACTTTGGCCCATTCCTTCCTGCTCCCTTCAGTGGTACAAGGGCTTGGAAAAATTAGTTTGTTCACAGTGATGTGGTTCGTGTAGGAATTTTCTAAGTCTGGTAATGAATATAAATGCTTCCTGTGTTTGTGCATAGAGTGAAAATTGTCACAGGTACAACCTTGAGCCAAAGACCAATTCTAATGCAGAATTCTTGTGGAAAAATTTCTGTTTCTGTGTGGAAATGGAAAGTGACCAGTTAACTCCAGGGTAACAAGAAATTTATGGAGCAAACAAACAAACCGTAAAAAGGGATCTGTTTTCTCAAACATTTACCGTAAAGCTGTGGTACTAAACATGCTGAATACAGAAATAGAAGAAAGCTTTCAGAGTGCTGAGTGCTTTTCTGCTGCAAGCCACCATTACCTTTTGGTTTTCCTTTCTATCAGTTCTCAGACATCATTTAAGAACAAGTGAGGTTTCATGCCTTCCCAGCCTTTTTTGTTGAGGTAGTTCAAAATATACTGTTCTAAGTTCCAGTTTAAGAAAGATCATGATCATTTGGTTTGAAGCCAGCACCAAGCTGTATTTGCTGAAATCCTACAAGGCAGGTGTTTATTGGAAAGATGACTCCCGTAGAACTTGTAGCGGTTGCATCCATACTGTCTTTTATCTCCACCCACCCAATTCTCCCTTTAAATTGGAGCTGTTGTTTTTAAAAAGCTGTAGTGGGAATCAAGCGCAAATGGGGGAACTGTTAACACTGAACCTAACAGGGAGAAAGTGTCTCCGTTCTTTTGGCTTGCATGATCTGCAGTATTTCACATGTGGACAAATGTAAATCTCTTGATCCTTTCAAAAAGCAGAAAATTCTTTGGTTACATGTACCCTGCTGGTGCTCAGTAGAGTAAAACAGATTGTTTGTAAGATATAGTTTGAAGGAAAACGTATCTGCAAATATTGGTTTACAGCATAAGGTGACTGAGTTGAGCTTTGGGGACCGTATGAGGTGAGAGAGAAAACTGTAACTTTAGTCTTTATTTGCAAGAACTGCATGTCAAAACATTTTTGAAGTTAAAAACAACAAATACAAGAAACAGAGGTTTTGTATTTTGGACTTCTGCAGGAGAGAGAACCTTTGAGGGGTCCAAACCTTCAAGATATGCATGGCTGAACACTAAAGTTTGAAACAGCAGCACTTGAAAGTGTGTGAAAAGTTTGTTAGACATCACTGTTAAGAAATTGATGTTTAATAGGTCATGCTAATTAAACAGAGACAGTGCTGTTACAAATTACAGAAATAAAATAGGCCATGGAGTTCAAAAAGCAAACAATTATATATGCACCGTGTGCATTATTATTAATACATGCATCATTTGAATGTTTTAGAGTCTGTTTCTAAATATACATACATACATATTCTAGTGTTTGATGTCGTTGCCTGTTTTAGGTTTCCAGAAGATTATTATCTTCACATAGTCAAAAAACTGAAGAACTGCACCTGGATGAGGAGACCAGAAGAATCAGCAGATTTCAGGTAACTTTAATTGCCTCATTTGGAAAACTGTTTACCCTGGATTAGTCTAACAAGTAATATATTTAGATCTTCCGTTTTAGAAAGATAATTTGGTATTGCTTTCAGACTGCATTTGCAGTTATAAATTTCTATTATTCTATTATTCTTTTGATTCTAGGGCTCTTCTCCTTTATTTGAATTGGGCTGTGCAAATGGAGTAAGAAAAAGATCTACAAAAATAAAGGAATTTCACTTGTCTCTACTATAATGAATAGTTAGCTAACTTATATAGAATGGATTAAAATTATCGCTGAGTCAAATCCTAAGGTATTAAAGAAAATGAATGTGATGTTATCCATCTGAACTCACTCTTTGGTAAAAGACTCTGCAATGAAGCAGCGTGTTTCTCACCCCAAGGCTATTGCTTCTACTGCAGAAATGCCCTAGGCACTCATTAGTTTGGCTGTGTATGTCATGGTCCTCGTGCATGTAAGCACATGACTAAATCTGTCCTTGTTCAGGGCGTCACATAAGTACGTGCTCAGTAGGGACAGTGATCTATGAAAAGCTTCCCCATTCATTTGGAAATGCATCATGCTGTGTTAAGAGAACAGCTTCCCTGTGCCAACTCTATTTTCTCCAGAGGAAATACTCTCTTGAATTACATTATCACATGGATTAGAGTTAAGATTCTGTCAAGATCATTAAAAATGAGTAAACTCTCCTGCCTTCCAAGTCTTTGGAACTGACTAGCACTGTAAACATAACCTACATGCTCAGCTTGTGACACTAGTGGAAGAAGTGGTTTGTTGGGAGAGAGGGGCTTATGTACAGCTTTTCATGCAACATAATTTGCTGTCTTTGCTGTGTATCAGTGGCATATTACACAGTTAAGGTTTATGAAACTTTCAGTTAACTCAGGCAGGCTTCAGCTTAGCACAGAGATATCGGAGCATGATGAGAAGCTGCTGAAGCAGTGTGTTGTGTGTCAGAATAGGCAGGTGTTTTGTACAGAACTGATGAGAGGTGAAACGACTTTTGTCTGCTAAAGTTAGGGCTTTTGTTGTCATGTTTATTCTTTTTTAACTTCTCTTTCTTCTCAATGAACCAGCTACAACTTATGAGAAATTTGCCACTTTGTCTATGCTAGATACATGAGTCAATGTCATAGCAACCAGTCCCTCTTCCAGCTTGGCTTCTTCCTCATTTTTTGTTTCCACAATTTCCCTTATGCTGAGGCAACTTCTACATCTTCCACGCCTATGAGTATGGAACATGACACTTTTTCTCTAAAATCTTAGATAAGACTGTTGGACTTTTAGTTCAAGATGTTTACTATTTCTTTTACTGTCTTTTTTGCCTTCTGGCGAGGAGTTTGGGTCGTAAGTGACCAACGTGGCTTATAAAACCAGTAATCGGAATGGAATTGTACTTAAGAGCAAACTGTGGGGTGCATTAAGCCACCTAGAAAATGGACTGTATTTACACTAAGGTGAGCTTGCTAGCTTTAGCTTAGCTCTAACATCAAGTGAAAAACATTTTTTTGCAACTCATAGTTCAGCACAAGCTGGACAAATTCTGCTACTCCTTTGACATTCAAAGATTCTGCTGTTAGGGTTTCAAAGCTATTTTACATCTAAACTTGCCAGAATACTAACCAACATATATATATATAATAACTCATACCGTGTTGGAGTACTGAAGACACTCTCTATGAAACTTGACCTGCTTTGACATCATTCAAATGCTCTGTTGATATGACCAGGGACTGGTACTTCGATGTTTCAGGTGTTGCTGATGATTATCATTCAAAAGATGTGTACTTTTGCATAAGTCTTTTCTTTTTTTTTGTTCTCTCTGACTCATTTTCTCGGAACAGGATATTAAAGCTGTACAATTGTCCTCACTCCCAGACCATACTGGAGGCTTTCAAGGCTTCCAGTCTCCCAGCAGTTGGTCAATACAAGGTTTTGAAGAAGAAAAAAAATAAAGCAAAGGAAATTCAGTATAAAATTTACTGACTAAATCAGTATCAGTCCATGCTTACTGTACTCCCAGATGTGTTTATCTCACTTAAGCACAAGAGCCTGGAACTGGCTTTAAAAGGACTCTCTAGCTGAGAAGTGATGCATTGACGGAGCTCTATGGAGAACAGAGCTTCTAGAAATGCAGTGAAATTAATGATTTAACAATCCCTTGGCAGTGCATCTCGTCCTTTTTCTAACTTTGTCTAGTATCAGTAATGCATAATAATTGTATAATATAAATATTACTCAATTCTAAAAATCTCATTAAGTGGGTAGATAAACACACATTTTGCAGAAGAGGAAATTAATCTCAAAGGGGCTGTGCAGCAGGAATTGGGTAATTCAGCTAGCCACCTTCAGGACTAGAGTGTGAAGCTGCCTGTCACATTATTCACCTGCAGAGCCACTGGAAATCTGCCTGCTGACTAGACTACAGAGAAGCTGCTTGACTCCCTTCCCTGTTTGCCCATCTGTTAAATGGAGTGAACACTTACATACTTCTCAGGCGTGGTGTCAATTGCAGAGCATTTTGGTATTATGCTGAAATTTTAAAGAAGAGATGTGAATATTTATAAGAGGCTTAAAGCTTTATGCTCCAGGGCATGAACTAACCTCTAATTTATAAGGTGCAAAAGAAACTTCCCAGGGGTAGTGAGTTTCTGAAAGCTGATTTCTTGTGTTTTCCTTTGCAGCTTTTGCTGTTGGCTACTATCACAGTAGTAGTGGGGTGAATGAATATGTGATCCAATGCAGAAACTCTTCTGTTACTAGAAGACAGCGTTGTTTGCCAACGAGTACACATCATTTCTCCTTGTAAACAGAACTCCCAGCAGATCCACGCCAAAAAAAACAAAACAAAGCAACAACAACAAAAAAAAATGCCACAAAAAAACCAGAATATGAACTAGAAGTGCAATTCAGGAAGGAAATACTTGCCTTTATGTACTGTCAGAAAGGATGTATCTGGGAGCCCTACTTTGCACAAGCTACTGTGTTTGTGCTGTGGCATTATACAAAAAGCAGAGTGCAGGATTCTAGGTTGACCCTCCCCTGCCTAGCTCAGCTCTGCCATGCAGCTGTGCAAACTCTTTTGTTGTCAGAGAGCTGTCTTTCTTTCTTTCCAAATGTCGTCTAATAAGCTGCTCCAGCATATGTGCTCACATGCACTGGACTGCATTGCTATCTGGCAGTACTCAGTGGTTCTTGGCAACTGTGTGCTGTTTACCCATGCATTTCTCAAAGTCAAAAAGAGTCATAAGGCAAGTACAAACCATGATTTCCTCTTTAATACCTTTAATACCTCTCTTTTGTGGTGGATTTTGTCCAGCCTCTCTTGGCTCTCAGACCTACAATTAATTCAGTATCTGTAATGCTGATATCAGTACTGCTAGATTTGGGTTGCCCTCAGAGAAGCCCATGGGAACACATGGTTTATTGTTCCCAAAATCCAGTTAAGATTCAGAGTGCCCCATAAAATTGTCACCTGTTGTTAAGGAGCTCCTATCTAACCCAACAGTAGATGCTAGGAAAGGTGGTGTATTTATATATACCTAGCAATGCTGTTAGTGTACTGGTATAAATGGCATCCTACTAAGTGATTTAGGGAAATTCTTCAGCATTTGTATACGTGCTACTGACACACAGAGAAAATATTTAAATTGGCTAATTACAGACAGATATCCAAGTGTGGTGACAATTAAAACAAGGTATTGGGGAAAAAAAATTCTTCCATTATTAGCAATCTACTGACCTTTGTTGCTTAAAACACTTTGTCCTTTATTCAAGTGATACTAAAACCATGGTGTGAAATACCCCTAGCATCAGGCTTAAAATAATTGCCATTCTTACTTTGTGTACAGTTATCTATTCTATGTGGTCTTTCAATTCCTGACTGAGTGCAACTGAAGATCCACAAATAGGTATGACTGTGTAAGCATTGCTGGCATGGATAATGAGCAAATGCTGTATAACAGGAGTGACATGATATTCATTTTGCAAACAAGCATTCATTTGTACAGATGCTTGTTGAACACCTCCTACTTAGAAAATGGATGGTTAACCTTTTGGCTTGTTTGGGCCACGTTGAATGAAGAGAAATTGGCTTGGGCTGCATACAAAACATATAATATAGTTAATGTATGTAAGTAGCAAAAATTATTCTTTTGCTTTTATTAAAACATAAAAAAGAGGGCAACAGAAACATAAAACTAGTGGGATATTTGACCTTGTTTTTGTGAAACTGATGCATCAGGCTGTTTTTATGACAGTGATTGTCATTCTTAGTGACTTCTCAAGGTGTTTGTCAGTGACTTCTGATAAAATTTTACTCTTCCTGTGCTTCACCCTTGAAAATAGTTGTTTGCAAATACTGCCAGAAAGCAATGACATGAATAAGGTGTGACTGTGACATGAAGGATATCTTTCTCTGTTAAGTGAGGGCTTATAAAATTCTAGTAAAGGGACGTGATCGAAAGTTGAGTTGAATATCTGATTCCAATGCTATACATTTAATTTGAAAAGTCACATGTAATTTATGATTTTTTTGGCAATCTTGAAACCTAATCTCAAGTTCTGTTATCAAAACAGAAAGCATGGCTGCATATTTTTCACTATTCACAGGAATGTTTAGCCGATCTATCAATATGCATACAGTGATTTGCCATACCTTGAGTTAGCACTGCACTGTGCCCTCCCCTTGTCCTGCTTTCAGGCCAGTGCAATCACACACCAATGTGGTCATTGCTGAGTGACGGGCTGCGTGCAGCCCATGGCCCAGAGGTTGGACATTCCTGACTTGGAACAATGTTTTGCATTTTTTAATGAATTTTTTTAACTTTTTAATACAGCGTTTCTCTCCATTTTTTCCCTACTGTGTTATCTTTCTCAAAGCTCCAAGCAACTCCACTGTCAATGAATTTTCTTCTCTAAATGGTTGATAGCTGTCTTTGTGCCGCGCCTGATTAGATAGGTGTATCCTATCAATTGATGCATAATGCCTGGTCATGACTATTTCAGCTTTACAATCTGAAAATTTGGTTCAGTAAGAGCAGAGAGATCACTGTTCTCTAAACTGAATACATGATAGGGTTTTGTGTCTGATTTCAGAGTTCTGATGGGGCTAGCCATTGCTTTTCAGTAAAAATCCTATCCTGTTAACATACATATATATTTTTATAGACTTGAAGGCAACAGAACTTGTAAGGTGAGTGACAGAGACTCCAACAAAAATGTTTAGGGACTTCTAAAAGCATTCTGGAGCACAGCTGGACTGTCTGTACCTCAGAGGAGATAGCAGTCCTTTATTTGGAAGTTGTGATATGATTGATTTAACACTTCTGATATTGTGCACAAGAAAACTGTGCTGAACAGTTGCAGAAATGAGTTCTTATTTAATGGACTTACAACCACCCATTTGTTCACTAAGTACTATATCCAGTACTTCTCGTTGAGATTCCTTTCATCTCCTCAGCTCTTTCTTTCGTCACTTTCTTACAATCACTTGTTCTATGTCGATTGAAATCTTTGCTAATTCTTTGGGGGCTGAAGACTCAGTGTTTCTGTAATAATCGTAACAATTAATAATAAGGAAAAGGCTGATAATGACTTAGCATGAAAAAGGGAGACTAATAGAGAAAATCTCACAGCTGCCTGGAAGCACTGTTCGTAAAGCTCCAGACAAAAAGCTGTGTTGGGTGGCTTCCTCTGCAAAGGCTCTCCTAACTGCAGTCAGTAGAGTCTCAGGTTCCCTAGGTAACTTGAATATTAATTATTATATTAGTATTCTTCAAAGGTTTTCCACTTAAAAGAAATGTTTCATTAGTGCAACAAATTACAGAGCCCAATTGGGTGCAAGCTGTAATTGTTTTTTATACCTCCACATCCTTTTGCTTTACAGACTTCTAAGCTTGATTTATTCTACTTTGGGCTATACTTCTAGAGTGGCAAATAATCTGCAGTTTTTCCAAATAGTTACAACTCGTGTTTTTGCTGGAAGCTAGCAAATAGGTAAAAAAAGCCCTCAAAAAATGGGTGGGGAGGAAGGGAGGGTCGGTATGGAGAAGGGCTGAGCAGATGCTGTATTTCAAAGAGTCTCTGGGCATTGTGTTTCTGGGCTATCTTGCATAGCTTGAAGCCTGGCAGGGTGATACAACAGTTCTTCACAAGCAGTCTTATGCTGTGATAGCTGTAGGCTCTGCCCTCCCTCCTTACTGAAAATGAAGAGAAAGGGAAACTCCTGGGTATAAAATGGGTTTTAAAAATCCAGATGTTAGATCACAACTTAGCCAGCACAATATTTCAGTCCTGCCAATATATTTGTAAGTTTTTATTTAAAAACAAAAAAAAAACCAAAAAAAACAAAAACAGAACTCAAAAGAACCCAAGATATTGAAAGAAATAGTTGAATTCAATCCATTTTCCTAGTCCTGTAATCTACCCTCCTGCTTTTTATTTCACTCAAAATTTATTAACATTTTCCCGCTTTATTATCTCTTCAGAAAAGGCTGTGAAACATTCTTGGAGGTTATGAGATCCCACTCTTACTTGAAAGGAACAATTTTTAGTATGTTACACAAATTTGTAGCAGTATTGCTTAACACATCTGTGTACTGCAACAAAACATAGTCCAAACACAAATGTAATACCCTGCAAGGTCAATTTATGCTTACATAAGCTCACACCACCACATAATCAATAGCTTTCCTAACGCTAAACAGATCAATAACTCCCCTGTATTCTCTGAAATCTTCCATTCCAGTATATATGAAGAAACATAGAACTCCGAGATCGTTGTGTGATTTAAGAACGCATTTGCTTCGTGTTTAATAGAGCATAGGTAAAATCAGAGACTTATTTCCATTTCAGAAAAGAAAAAGGCTTGGACAAGAGATGGGAATAGGTGACACTGTGGAGAAATGGATGAATCTGTTAATTGCTTTGCAGACATCATACTTTCCTAAAGATTGAAGAATTCCTGTAAGAGGAAACTAATTTTGCATTAGATTTTGTTATGTTTTTATGGTTGACTTTTTCCAAATGTTTTGTTTGAAAAATCAAACAAAGGGCATATTCAGCCCTGGTTTCAGGTTCAACCTTGCATTTCATTGCCTTAGACATGTATGACATGCTGCATTTATGAAGAGTTCAAGGGCTCGTCAGTGTGGCATATCCCTTCACCACATTTTGTTTCAGATGTATTTAATCACTCTTTTCTAAAAGATTGCAATAATTCTTAACATGCCTTGTTGCACTTTGGTGCTATTGACTCGGTCAGAAGCTTGGAGAAACCCACTGTTCTAGAGCCCCCAGAGCAGTACTGTAAGGCAATTTCTTGCCCATTATAAAGGATTGCATAAGTAAGCATAGATAAAATATCTCCTCACTGTTTGTGACTGAATCCTTTAAATTTTTCTGGTATATTGCAGGTATTTTGTGGGTTCTTTTTTTCTGAAAATCTCATTATGAAATTTCACAATCTTTTTTTGTCTTCAGTACAACAGCTCGAATGAACTGATGCCTGCAAATACCCAAGGCGGACAACACCTGAACAGCTGTTGGGAACATAAAGATTTTTCTCTGGTTGTTAATAATCTACGGACATTTGTTGCTTGAAATACTTTGTCCTTTACCAAATGATTTCAGAAACCTTGTTGTGAAATACAGTTAGCTTATAGGAATTACAGCTTTAAATAATTGCCATTCAAGAGAAGGTTCTCTTGAATTGATTAGTTTCTGAATATTTGCTGTGAAATTAGGCTTGCAAGTGAAAGGAAATGACATTACTATAGAGGGCTCATACAGACTTTTGGTGCTTAGTTAGATAGAAATGGTTTTCATTCATCTAGCTCTCTACCACCTCACTTCTATTTATTTGCCTGTCTTTGAGCAGGTTTGGTTTGTTGTTTTTTTTTTTTCAGGTCAGAGTTAGCTTCCTGCTGTAATGCAGTTCACAATTTTATTGCTTCTCAAAACAACACCCCACTGGGAAGTAACATGAGTTATGAAGTGGACAGTAAAAAGACCATCCTCATTACAGAAGACATTTTTAGAATGCTGCCTGTGGTAAGAACTGTATCCTTGCCTGGTATTATAATTACAGTATCATATATACTTTGGAATAGTAATAGAGCAGCTTTCTTTTATTTCTCTGGAAGAGCCCCTTTGCCCTGTATGCTTTTCCTCTTTCACTTTGTGCAACTTTTTTTTTAGCCTTCCTTTGCCAGTGGTATAGACATGAACAGCACATCATAGATCTGGTTGCAGGTAGAGCTACTATAGAACCCAAGCTGCTGCCTGTCGTGGCAGTCAGCTGAATTCAAGGATGAAGAATTGAGGAAGGTTGCTTTTTTTTTTTTCATTCTTATTTTTTAAATACATTTCAGTTTTGAGCTATGTTTCATATTCCTGGTATTCCCATGCTATTTCTCCTGAAGGCTAAGGCTTGTCACTTGTGGAGGCTGTTTTGGGGATAAATCTGATGGTGAGATGAAGTCTTTGCAGACAGAAACACGGACAGAGCAAAGGAATTAGATTTTGTAGCTAGGGTCTTATAGCAGAGATGTAAGATCTAGAAATCAGACAAAGGTGTCCTGGTTTCAGCTGACATTAATACTGCACCGTGCTTTGGTTGTTTCTGAGTGCTAAGAGGGCTGAGCCAGGCCACTCAGTGAGGAAGAGCCACTGCCTTTATGGTGCAGCAGAGAAGGGTGGAACAGAGCCAGAAGAGGTGGCCAGAATTAGGTCTGGGGTTATTCCACAGCATGGGTGCAAGCTGGCTTTGGGGGTGGTTGCTGCTTGTGGATTAGCTGTGTGTTGGTTGGCAAACATTGGTAGTGGAGCATTGGTTGGTGGGTAACTGTATGTATGTATATTCAATTATTGCTGTGTTTTTGTTTTCTTCTTCTGTTTTTCTGAATAATTTTTATCAAACCCCTAGCTGCTTCTAGTCCTCTCCTTATTCTACCTGGGGAGGAGCAAACAAATGACTATAGGGTGTTGAGCTACTTGCTAGATTAAATTTCAACAGTCTTTTTGGCAACCAATGTGAAGCTTGAAGGGTTGAGATGACAACAGATCTGATGAGAGCTTGTTAAAACAAAACTGTTAACAAGCATGACAGTAATTTAATAGTTGCTGGTCACAATGTTATTTTTTTATTATTTTTGGAGATCTGTCAGTTTTTTCATGGAACCATATTACTTGCTATATACGATCGCTGATGCACTGTTTGCCATCTCTGGGGGCTGGACTAAGGTTATCGTTCTTCTGTAACACTGGTTGCGAAACTAATCTGATATTTGTATTTGATATTTCAGTAATCTTCATACTTTGGAAACCGTATCTTGGAAACTATTAATAATTTCACTCTTTACTTGGTCTCCTCAGGGAGCCAGACTATGGTGGAGGCAAGTGGTAATGTTCAAATCAGTATGCATCTAATGCTGTGCCTACTTAAAGTACTTCAGGTTTTGTTTAAGGTTAAACAACTATTTATGAAAATCCTCCAGAGGTCTGTCCCAAAGCTGGATAGTTATGAGTGGCAGAGAGTGGGGGTTGATATGAGTGGGTACCTAAAGCAGTGGGCACCCACAGTGTTTTGGAATTTCACCCCTGAACAACTGCAGAATCCTGACGAATTTGGAAGAGGTATGCTGTTGCCTTGGCAATCCTGGTGAAACAAAAATCGCTGCAGTGTGCTGGGACCTGGTCCATTTTTACTGAGACCCATTCAATGCTATACAGCACCCTAAAAGGAAAAAGATATCCGGATTTGAACAGGCCCAGCTATTGCTCCGTGCCCTGTAACAGGCCTTGCAGTTCAACTAGAGAACCAACCTGTGCCACTATCAGTTGCCTCTATATAAACGGCAAATAAATGGCTACAAAAGCCGACTCATTTAGTAGGGAAAGAAACTAAAACAAGGATGGAAGAAAATGAAGCAGAGCTATCATAAGGACAGGAGGAGAAAGAACCAGCATTCATAAGACAAAAACAGTCTGACCCCTTTGAGACATTCGAAAAGACCTCAGCCGTGATCCAGGAGATCGTACTGTCACCTGGCTGCTCCAGTGTGGAATAATGGGGTCAGTAGCCTGGACTTAGTGGGCATAAATGCCAGGCAACTGGAATCCTTTTCTAGGGAAGGAGTCATTAACAAAGTAATTGGATAAGGGACTCAAACCTTCACCCTAAGGAGGACATGGTACATTTCCCAGGTAAATGGACCACTGTGGAGAAACATATCTACTACCCGAGGGAATTAGCTGTGCTGGAGGTGATGTAGAATATTGACCTAGACAATGACCAGTTATCTCAAGATCCAGATGATGTCAGGTGCTGGCAATCTGTGACAAAAATTCGCATGGAGCACACCATCATCATATGCCAGCACACTTACAGCAACGTTCTGGAATGATAATAAAAAACAATGGAGGAGGTTGCAACTCTACTTCAACAATATGGAGAAAATCTCTCTTCCTCCCCGTGGGCCTGTGCCTCAGCACAGGGAAACCGTTCTGGGAACTCAAAGACAGGATGTCCTATCTAATTGTGATTTGTGTGATGAGCCTAGTGCTTTCTTATGCTGCTGTGAATCACTAAAGAAATGGAGGAGGTGACAGAGGTTCCAAATGAAAGAAAAAGTGTAGTATTTCTTAGCGTATGTTTGCTAGACTAGCCACAGTTCTCTGTCCTCTGTGTTTTTCTACTGTCTTCAGAATTAAACAGGATACTTGAACATGGTTAATGATATGTTGCCAGGCAACATGACATCTGCCATTTTCCCTGCTCTTTTTACCTTGTTGATAACAGTTCCCCCTTATGCTTTTTTTTGAGCAAATTGATGAGAATATCAGGAGGGATAATGCTTCATATAAGCAAGTTTTGACTCACTTTTACATGTAGATTCAATTTCTGCAGTTGAAGTAGCCCTGTTGCTGGCTTTCTCTATTGAATGTCTGTGCTCCTATAGCAGGGGGGAATGAATGAGATGCATGAGAAGTTTCTGACACCGTGGGATAATAACCAACTAAATTAATATCAGCTGAAATAATCAACAATTTACATTAATTTGCTGAGTTGTGATCATAAGTGGATGCACTAAGGTGTCTTTCAGGTTCCCCAGGGCAAGACAGCAACCTAGTATTACAAAAAAAAAAAAAAAAAACACAACTTATTACAAAATAAGCATTTGCAAGGTTACCTTCTATTAGCTGACATAGACGATGACAATGTGACAACTCCCGGTCTGTTTAAGTGTAAAGGAAAATGGGAGAATTTAAGCTATCTTCAGCAGGAGCTAGTTCCATAGCTTTTCACAGGTTCAATCCAGTACTAGGTTTTTTTCATCACACAAATGTAAATTATATTCATCCCGTTTTAATGGTCTGGCACTACACCATCAAAACACCCAAGACAGAAGTAGCGGTTTTCAGTCTGCTGGTGACTATTTTTGGCTTTTGGCCGTCTGTGCCTGGCAATGCAGTCTGCTAAATGGTGGATGCTTTCACTGGGATTTACGAGATTAGAGCTGCAAGGACAAATGACTGAAGGCACAAAGAAACAATCAGAAAATTTATTAAGCATGCACTGTGTCTTTTTATTTGTTTGCAGTCCTCTCCTCTTTCAGTTTATCCCTTCAAGAACTGTGCTGTGGTTGGAAATGGAGGCATTCTGAAAAATTCCAGCTGTGGAGCTGAAATCGATCGTTCTGATTTTGTGTTTAGGTAAGAGCTGCTTCATTTCTCTGAAGGCTGTTGGACATTTCTACAAGCTTAGCAAGCTTGCCAATGCCAGTTTTTAGCAATGAGAGATCTACCTCTCAAAGGGCACTCCTCCAGCTTTATAGATTTAAGGACTCTGTTTCCTTAGTAAAAAAGGGATTTTATGGATAGATATATAATCCAAAATTACAAGGATACCTTGCCAGTAGTGTAAAACTTGATTATCTGAGAAAGTGATATTTCTTTTCAATCAACACTCTTAAATAAAGAGAATTTTTTTTATTTTTTATTTTTTAATAAGGAGATGATAGTAAAAAAAACTCTCTGAAATTAAAACAAGTCTGTTATTAAATACCACGTTTACTTTTGCCAATGGGTTTATCTAGTCACAGGTTGGGTCACTAATGCAGTTACTTAACTGCCCCAGTATTTGTCTTACCATCTGGGAGCGTCGGATTTAAATAATTTTTCATGGAGTCGTAGCGGGATCTGTGACCTTTAAACATCATTTAATCCAACTGCTCTGCAATGAACAGATATGATCAACATGCAGTGGGATCAAGTGCACTCTCAGTAAGTTTGCTGATGACACCAAGCTGGGTGGTGCAGTTGACAGAGCAGAAGGAAGGGATGCCATCCCAAGGAACCTAGAGAGACTTGCAAAGTGGGCCCAGGGTGGGAACCTAGTGAGGTTGAACAAGGCCAAGTGCAGGGTGTTGCACTTGGGCCAAGGCAATCCCAGATATGTGTGCAGACTGGGAGAACTCATTGAGAGCAGCCCTGTGGAGAAAGACGTGGGGGGTTCTGGAGGATGAAAAGCTTGATGTGAGCCAGCAGTGTGTGCTGGCAGCCCAGAAGGCCAGCTGTATCCTCGGCTGCATCATAAGAGGGGTGGCTTTATGACTTTAATGACTTTAAACTAAAACAGGAGAGATTTAGGTTAAATATTATGTGGAAATTTTTTACTCAGAGGGTGCTTAGGCACTGGCATGGCTGCCTAGAGTTGTGGATGCCCCATCCCTAGAGGCACTTAAGGCCAGCCTGGATGGGGCCCTGGACAGCCTCATCTGGTGGATGACAATCCTGTCTACAGCAGAGGGTTGGAACTGGATGACGTTTTCAGTCCCTTCCAACCTAAGTCTTCCTATGACATCTATGGTTAGATCGAGTTGTTCAAAGCCTCATCCTGTTTCTTCAGCTCCCTCTGTAGAACGTGGAAAAAAAAGGCAAATTCAGTACAAAATTTGGCCCACTCATTCAGTGCAGGTGAGAGATTGTTGTTGCTGCAAGGGAACACTAACCAAAATACTTCTCTCAACCATGACCAATCACATGGTCTCATTGACTCTGTTTCCTTTCCTGATCTTGAGTAGTATGTGGACTTTTCAGATAATTTTAAAAAATCTTTCCAATTAGATAACTGATTTTAATACGTGAGAATTCTGTATACTAACATGCTAAACCTAAATGTGTGACTTCAAAAGTCACACCTCCTTTCCTTATAACCGAAACCATTCTTTCTGCAGTTGAGCGAGTTCTGCCATTATCTCATGAAACAGCCATCAGCGTTGCTGTGCCAACTGGGAGATTGGTATCAATCAATCTTTTTAGACAGCAAATGATAGAAAACTTTGCAGATTAAATGCATGGTTTAGGCAAGAGGTGCAGTATTTTCAGGCAGCTAACATGGGGCATTCATAGACTGTCTCCTTACAGGATTTTAACTCTGCCTCTGATTTGTGAGATGATTTATGAAAATGAGCTCTCGATGCCCTATTTTAACCATCTGTACAGTAGATTATTATTATTATTTTTACCAAAAGTGCTAGTGCTGTAAGGCTTATTTAATATTTGTAAAGTACTTAGGGGTTCCTGGGAGCTGCATGAAAGCATCATTGCACAACAGCGGAATTTGCAAATAAATACTGTGAAGCATCTGCTTAAATAAATGTTTCTCAATTTCAGGTGTAACCTCCCTCCAACAATGGGAAGCATTAGCAAAGATGTTGGCAATAAAACAAATCTTGTGACGGTTAATCCAAGTATCATAGCTCAGAAGTAAGTAATACTGAAATTCTGTTTCTGTGCAATATTATATAATTGCTTGACGTGATTTAGACTTTGTTAAAAATCCATTGAGATAACAACATAGAAGCAGTGCATACTGATTACTTCATTAATGAGCTTTAGTTCCCATGTAAAATATGTACTATTCTAAATGGAAATCTATTATGCTTGGTCTTTTTTTAGCAGAAAGGAGTCAGCAGTACCCAGATTAGCAAGTTACTTGGTTGGCACCAGTCCAAACTTTATAACCAAGTAAAACTGATGATTGCAAGCCCAAGCTGCTTCCTTTCCTTCCATGACCTTTATGACCCCATAATGTAAGAAAGGAATTACAATAATAAATTGGGAAAGCTTGGAAATGTGTGTTCAGCTCTATCAGCAGGACTGTAAACACATGTTCCTAGTTAATATGTTAAAGAGCTGTTCTGATGAAGGATATTTTCTAAATGGACACCCAACCTCTGCAGTCTGTTTTTTCATTCCACACTGGTCGCTCTTCTTTTCTCAGTAGTTTTTTTTTACTTCCTTGATGAAAAGAAAATCTAATAAGGCCAGCCTGACTAATCCAACATCTTCAGACATCTTCAGCAGTCTGGAGCTGCAGCTTATCTATGAGAAGGACTGCCATGGCATGTTATTTGCTGCTTACTGATCTTACTGTGTCTCATTGTCTCTTGTATCGGTATTTGTCAAATGGACATCAGGCAAAGCTTGTTTCTTTTTCTCCTTTGTTAGAAGACAGAAGGAAAGGTAAAGAAAGCACAGAAATGACTAATAGGCATTTGCTATTGTTTCAGGATATAAACAGAATTTTTGCAATAAGACTTAACTTCTTAGATGGCTACCCAGCCCTTTTAACTTAAATGACGATGAGCTGTAGCTTGCCCCAAAATAGATTTAGCTCATTGATGTTAGTGGGGCTGCACTAAAATCTGAGAAGTAAAAGTTGGTTCAGTGACTCCGCTTCACTGGTGACTGTTGACCTGGTGCGTGATCTTGTAGGTCCTTTCCAACCTTGTGATTCTATGATTCTATAATATTTCTCTGACCTTGATCATAGCCCTCTGCCATAGGTACACTCATTTTTTTTTAGCCAAATTAGGCAACCTTGAAGTTTACAAATCCTTTAGGATTTGAAAAAAAATGATTATTTAAATTTTCAGAGAAGGCTTTTAAAGCTTTAGAAAGAGGAAAGGACAAGAAGCAACACAGAGAGGAGCTATCTTTGTTTTCTCATCTAGAAGTCCTGTTCTTACTTGATTCACTTTGGTTTCTAATTCTGTGTCTCAGCACTGAGTTACTTTGATGTTGCCTCTTGAACTCCAGGCATGTCCAACCTTTGGCCCCTGGACTGCATGCAGTCCAGCCTGTCCTGCAGCCCGCCCCATGCTCTGCTGTGCCATCATGGCAGTGTCTCTTTCATGCAGAGCAACCAGGCCTGGCCTTGAAGCACACTACTCACTCAGAAACAACCAAAACATCAGCCCAAGACAATTCCTCCTCACTCAACGTGGTCCAGGCAAGCCAAAAAGTTATCAGACTCTCTTGCAAGAAACAAGCACAATTATTGTGTGTCCTAATTAAGCTGGGCTACACCACACCTTATAGCAGAAACACTTGAAAGGAAAGAAAGTTCCAGCTTCTAGCTAAGAAGGAAGTACAGACATCTGAATTCTGACCTGAAGGCTTTCTATACATATTACCCTGAGTGAAAACAAAGATAATTCTGGGGGGAGAGGCCAGAAGTTCACCCTTAGCAATAAGCTCAGGACTCTTGCTTGCTTTCACCACATGGCTCTGGGACGCACAGGGGACTAGGTTGAGCAGGAGGGGCTGAGAGTCTCTCATTCATTGTGTTTCAGAGTCTGCTGGTAATGGGATTTTTCTGAGAAGCAGAAACTGTAAGTTTAAATCCCTTCAGACTGAGACTGGTTGTCTCTCTCTTTGCATAAGTTCAATTGTGCAAGAGGAATTGTTAACTACAGTGAGAGTTTTGATTGGAAATAGCAGTAGCTGCTGTCCTCTGTGTTGAAGTTCTGCATGAGAAGACAGTTTGAAAGTGTTCAAGTTGCAAAGAGAAATGAAAATACTTTTTCCATTTTGTGGAAATAGAGCCATTTGTGAACAGTGGTCTCTGGTAGGCAATAAGAGGTTAAAGTGCACTGCTCACATGTGTAGCTGGCAAAAAAAGAGGACTTGGTGTTTTGAAACCCAAAGGAATTGGAAGTGCCATATGTTCGGATGATTCAGACAACTAAGACCTATGAAGTAAATTAATTGAGAGGCACCCTTGTGTCTTGTATCACTCTGTAACATTCAGTATATGGGAGCACTGCATTATTTGATGATGAGAAAAATGTCTCTTTGCTGACTGTTAGGGAACCAAATCAACTGAGTATAAATCTTCTTCACCTGTGAAATTAGCACCATTGTTCCCTTTGTTGTTAAAGGAGATAAATAGACATGCCTGTATTTCAGCTGTTTTAAAAGCATGTCAAAAGCAGCTAAAACCCTGCTCATGTGCATAATGGTATTTCCACACAAGGCAGACACCCAGGGTTTGAAGAGGACTTAGTATGACATGTTGATGGAAGAAATACTTTTCACAGATACATGCAGTACATGCCATTAGGGAAGTATTCTTAAGCAGAGCATGATTCATTTTTGTTTTTTGAATTCTCCTTCAAAATTTTTTGAATCAGCCACTTCTGTAAATGGGTCCTCAATTCCTTAGCTGTGAATTTTTCTTCTTCAGTAACTCCTGTGTTGCCAAATCAATCATATATAATGTGTTCTTATTATACAAAAGAGCCAGATTTTTCCTCAGAGCACATGTGACAAGATGTAACAGATCAGTATAAATTCACAATGTAGACAGGCTGAACTGGTACAGAAGGGTTTATTACAAATCGTATATGCAAGTGCAGTTATGCAGTTTTGGTCTGTAATATATTTACTTCAAAGTATATTCCATTCACTCTTTTCCTAAAATATTGTGCTTGGCAGATACAACAAACTAAATGAAAAGAAGACAGAATTTGTGGAGAATGTTGCAGTCTATGGAGATGCTTTCCTTTTATTGCCAGCATTTTCCTTCAGAAGCAACACAGCTACTTCTTTTAAAGTCTATCATACTCTGCAAGAGTTCAAAGCAACCCAAAGGGCAATATTTTTTCACCCCACCTATCTGAAAAGTCTTGCCCAGTTCTGGAGAACTAAGGGTGTGAAAGCCTACCGGTTGTCATCTGGTTTTATGATCACTAGTGCTGCTGTTGAGCTGTGTGAGAATGTGAAGCTTTACGGCTTCTGGCCTTTCTCAAAATCCACAGAGAAGATGCCAATCAGCCACCACTATTACGACAACCAGCTGCCCAAACCAGGTTTCCATGCAATGCCCAAAGAATACAACCAGATCCTTCAGCTTCATGGTAAAGGCATTTTGAAGCTGCAGTTCGGTAAATGTGAATCAGACTAAAAAGGTAGGTCACATTCCTATGACATAAGATGTCTTTATTGAAGTCATGTGTCAAAGCAAAACTGGTTTTGCAAGCAGTTTTGTACTCTTCCTTAAGGAGACATTTCTACGTTGCAATCAATAAATGTTGTGTTCATAAACGAGATAAATATTGGATAATATACATAATGTACTGCGGAGCTGAGAAATGCTTTCTACGTGTGAACTTAAGATGGGAAGATAGCTAAACACGCATTATCACTGCAATTTGCAGTCAGTCAGTAGTGTCTTCTAATCTCAGGTAAACATTTTCACCAGCCTCTGTTTGGTTTGAACCAACCTCCTTTGTGAATCACTTTATTTAAGGCAGTCATGCACTGTAATCTACAAGAGATGACAGCTAATCCTGACATAGTATTTCCAGGTGTATACAGAGGCTAAAGTAAGGATTAAGTTGACCCCGTGTAGGACTAGCATGTGTGTACTCTTATTCTCTCTCACTAGGGAAAAGTATGTTTAGAACAGTATGCTGTCTCAGCCCTGGGCTGGAGAGCAGCTTGTGGACAGCAGTGAAGAAGCTGCCATACACTACAGCAGATCTTGCTGAGCATTTACCTTGAGGCAGCCCAGAATCTGGAAGTTACAAATACAGGATGAAGTGTCATACCCAGTCTGTTCTTTCAAACTGTTCCATCCCCCTTGGTCCTCTGCCTGCTGTGCACTGCCTTAAAGAAATGCAGCAAACAGTCTGGCCCCTGACCTTGAACCATTTTACCACATACAGACTACAGATGACTTTAAAAATACTTGTCTGCATGTTTTCAATCTTGATTTTCCCTATTTGTATAGATACTTAGAACAAAACCATAAAATGGCTCAAGGGAAGAGACCCACAGGGATCACTGAATCCAATTCCTGGCTCCACACAGGACTACCTAAAATGCAAACCCAATGAGCATTGTCCAAAAGCTTCTTGAACTCAGCAGGCCTGGGGCCATGACCACTGCCCTGGGTAGCTTGTTTCTGTACAAGCTGTGCCTGTACTTCCTCATTTTCTAAGCTAATTCAGAAATTCCCCAGCTCAAAATATGTCATCAGATTTGCCTTTCAACTCTGTTTTCCCAGAGGGTTCAAGTTAATATAATAGTAAGTGAACTGTAAAGTAGAATCACCACATGCAGTGGACTTTAATTGGACTGATGTAATCTTACGACTGTATTTTTATTTAAATAAGTTAAAATAACATCAGCTTGCTCAAGCCAGAAAGTTTGAAAGCTAGAGGCTTTTTTTTATGGCTCAGTTATGAAATATATTTGAAAGTACCTTTTGATGCTATTTAGAAGACACGCTGTCAAAGATACATTCGCAGTTGGTTTGTGGGCAGGGACTGTTAAGTTTTAAACTCGCTGATTGCTAAAACCAGAAAGGCAAAACCTTTTATGGTATAAGTTTCTTTGAAGAAATAGAAAAATAAACTGCTTTCATGTATTGTTAGCATAAAATAAAATAGTTTCTAAGTCCCTTCTAGCCTATCTGGTGATTCCGTTCCTGTCTGTAGTCCGTGGTAGGAGATTATTTAAAAGGAGGTGTGTGTGTATGGGATTTCATGTGGCTAAGGTGAGCTTTTTTGCTTGTAAAAGGTTGCAACATATTGGAAAGGTTAAGAAATACATAATGTATTTTGCTTAGTGGCCAGGCTGTTTATATCCTGCAGTTTCCATTGTATCTATTCTTTCTGCAATATAAATCACCGAAGACATTCCATGTAATTTTAATTGTAGTAACTACACTAAACAGGAAAATGAAAGGCAGCTCCTTATGAATTTTTCATCCAGAGAAGCAGAAAGAAGCCACAAAAATGTTTAAGCATCTGTATGTGTTAATTAAATGCTGTCCATGCTATGCAGACTGAGAATGACTTTTGTGGTCAAATTTACGAAATGAGCTGTAAAGGAAAAAGCAACCAGAAGGATAAGTTGTGCTGCCTCAAGATTTTTGTCTACTGTTAATCACTTCTATTTACAGAGAGAAAAGTTAGTCCTTTAATAAAAAGAAATTAAATGTGTTCAGTGTGAGCTATCGTTCTGCTGCTATTATCAAATATAAGAGATAATTGAAATCCTATAATGAGTATATTTTGCAGAAGATGATTTTTTCAAAAAATTGAACAATCTCATTTCTCTTTTCAATTTCTCTTTAATGTTATTCTTGTTCCCACTCTTCCCCGTTAGCGGGATAGCTGAAGCTTCTTTATATCACTGGGCATCCACAAAAGTCTCAGGCTGAATTTCCCTCACAGGTTACTGTAACACAAGTCTGCTGCTATAAATAAGAAGTGAATGAATAAGAAGTGCTGTGCTGGAAGCACCTGTGTTGCAAGCAGGTAGCAGAGGCTGGAACACCACAGGGACACCACATACCTGCATTTCAATGAATATTTTCTGCAGTATTGTTTGCCATTCTTGCCATTGCAGAGGTGTACTTTGCTTGTTGGATAGAAGGGACTGTCAGGTGTGAGAGTCCTTTAGAACTGGTTTGGAACAATGTGGGTAACTCCATCAACCTTGATATCCACTCCTGCACTGTTAAGATTGTGCTCAGCAGAAATGTGTCTTTGCTAAAGTAGATGCATACCTATCACAGATTGTAAGATGGGAAATGGGACATTAGCAAAATCTCAAAATGTAATTAAAATAATGATCTTTATTATTTTGTATTAAATTACAGAATCATTTTGCTATGGCCCTGCAGCTGAAGGAAGAAGTCTTGTTTGTTCATTGCTTTAACCTGATAAGGCTGAAAGGCATGTCATTAGCTTCAAGTAAACATGGGCTCAGGGAGGGGAAATGGCCTGAATCCTGTTTAAAAATAGAGAGAAAAATCTGATTAGAAAAAATGTCAGACGATAAATTAATCAGACTGGCAAAAATGTGATGGCTCAGAAGCTGGTTAAAATGCAAACGATATCTGACCGAGAAACCATCGGGTTTTCTGCTTGCTGGAAAGAGACAGCGGGGAAGATGAGTATGTGTTGCTTTGACATACAGCACAGCAGCGTTAAGCAGCTGCTAAGAGAAGTCAGTCAACAGAAAAAAAAAAAACAAAACATGGTGAATAAGAATGGAACTGAGACTCCCCGAGCCCGGGGCAGGGAATAGTGCTCAATCGTCTGAGCAGAAAGTGCTATAGGAGGAGAGGCTGAGCAGGGAAATGCTGGTGGCTGGAGAGTAAGGGTTGCTGAACCTTCAACTGAGTGCGAGTGTGTGTTACCTGGAAAGTAACAACTGGGTCTGGGCTTTTGATTGCAAGCAGATGAAGAAAAGCCATCTATTTGTGACAGAGAGGGAAGCCACGCAGACTTCCAGTGGGGGTGGAGCTAGCTGGGTAATATCATGCAAAGCAGGTGACTGCCTGCCTCCTTGCTCATGATCCTCATCTCATCAAAGTTAACTGGGCTGTGCCACCCTGCCAGCATATAGTATTTTCTTAATATTAAAAGTTCCTGGAAATGCAATCAGTTATAAATACCGTTATAAAGAATCTATTTATAATTGTTATAAAGAGCCTATTTATAACTGTAGGATACCAATATGAGGTTAAATTCTATTGGAATTCTTTCATCCTTGCGGTGTCGCAGTGGGAGACATATGAGCTACATCGCAATTTACTTTTAATGAGAAAAATATCACATTTTGAAAATAAAGACACCTCTAGATCCCTGCCGGGCAGCTAAATTTCAGCCTCCCTAAATATTATCCAGCATCAAACTATCAGATGTGTGCAGCATTAGAAGAAAGGTCTTCTGCATTAGTACCTGTGCCACATCGCTTTAAAGCACGCACTTTGCTTCTGTGTTCAGCCACTGAGCTAAGTGCATTAAGAGTAACGTCAGTAACGAAACAAGTGGGGATAAGTTGCTTCTGTTTATTTAAATCCCACCAGATTAGAAGAAAAAAATAGATTATATCAGATTAGAATTTGCATTAGATGTTAAATCAAATGGAAAAAAAAATCTGTACAGATTTAGGAGGGCTTTATTTTGTTTTACAGAAGCAGAACTAGGCTGTTGAACAAAAAAAAAAAAAATTCATTCTCTAGCTGTTTCAAAATATGATTAAGATAATATAATTTAAAAGTTACCCATGTTCAGATGAGGAGTGGATGTGGTTGCGCCCAGCCCTGCTCAGTTTAGAAGGCTGCAGAGGGTGGTGCAGGTGGGGTGCTGAAAAGAAGCACTCCTCCTTTAGGAAAAGCAGATGTTTGAGCTAGATTGGGCACTGGCAGCCCAGCATAGCCAGGAGACTTTTGTGAGCCCGTGTAATAAATATCAGCAACCTCCAGTTTGTAATAAAGCTGAAAAGCACATGCAGAAGGTGAAATACATGTAAGCTATTGGCTGGTTTGAATATCAAAGGCGGTTTTCCTACTGTACTAATAATATCAGTAACATGTTTTATTGTTTTAATTCCAGGGTGATCATCCAAAGGAGACAATTTGTGTATATCTTAGCACCTCGATGTTGGATTTGATCTGATGTGATTTTGTGAGCATTAAACTGCATTATTACAATAGATAAATATTTGACATCTGGGGGGAAAAGGAAGGGATTTTTCACACATTGACTGCTACATTTCCAATTCTTAAGTATTCATTTTTTTTAATACAAAATAACATTTATGTGTAAATTCTGAAAATTCTGACTGTGGTTTTAATTGTAGCAAAGCACAATCTCAGAATGGTGGCAATATATAACATTCATAATGTTTTTCTTCTTAAAGTATCATTAAATTATTTTGATGTAAGGTCTCTGGTTTAATCAATATCATGGAACACGGGCAATAGTCACTGTATGGTAGCTGCCCAAGTTGGTAGTGAATGCTTTGAATTAAGAACTCAGTCACACATATAGTGTTTTTCTGTCTGAGAAAGGCGATGAGAAGATCTACAGTGGAGTTGTTAATTCAGAACTAAGTCATTCTGAGTTTGTCCCAGGGTGCACAAATGAAAAAAAAATCCCTCAGGTTAGAGATAGTCAAGTAGTTCATGTGCTTTAATTTTGTGGCCAGTGAGTAATGCTGAAATGGATGTAATGGGATCCGTCCTGTGAATTATGTTAGTTTTGTGAAGAAGTGTTTGACAAACCAGAGCTGTAATTACCAGAGTTATAAAACCAGAGTATAATTATTTTTAAAACCCTCTTCTTGCTTGTATTCCTGTCTAAGGTCCACAGTTCAGCTCCAAGTGAGGACAATCAACTAGCTTTCATCCTGCACTCCCTGGAGTCCTGGTAGGGCATGACTTTGCACACATTCCTGCAATCCCAGATCCATATCTGTGCTGAATACGTGAGTGTCTATTCACTAGAAAAAATAATCTATACCATCCCTAGCATTTTTTCTGTTTCATTTTCACCTAGCATAACACCTTTCCCTATGTGACGACTGATAAAGAAACTGCATTGAGCATTGTTAGAAGAATGTTTCTTTTAGAGCCAACCCCAAACTTTTCTCCTTTACTGGGGCATGTGAGAAAAGACTACAGTCACTTAATTAAAACCCCGTGCAGTTCTTGTGCTTAAAGTTTCCATATGGTCTATTGGAGCACAAGTGAAATAAAGATTCACATTAACGTTAATGGGAGCTATAGGCACTTGTTCCTCTAGCTGTGGCTGCTAGTATATGACTGCTTATACTTTTTTACTGCAGAAAAAAGAATTGCAGTAACCAATTTCTCTTGCAGGAGGCTTTTTTTGAGTCTACTGAATGATCAATTCAATGATAGAATGTCCTTGCTGTACTTTTAGTCAGATACTATCAGGTTTTTCCGTACTAAAACCCATCTTAGTACAGTAGCACTAAATCCCCAATCAACTGATAGTTTAAAGAGCATTCAGTATTCCACTCATTGAGGATTATTTGTGCAAAAATAAAAAACACCCAAAAAACCTACTATAAATGTATCGAACCTTATAAAGTATACTTTTAGACTGATATCTTATAAGAGCATTTCTATATTGCTGTAATATTTGAAAGCTTAACTTGCAACAGTTTTATAACCACATAAATAATCCTAGAAATATTTGAATCAGTCATTATCATTGCAGGTCTGTGTTCAGCATTTTGATCCATTTCTAAGATGATATCAGAATCTCACTACTCCTACCCCAGAGTGGCCCTAAACTCAGCTACATACATCAGCACCAAGTTCTTTTTTTTTTGGCAAAATAAGGTTTTAAAAAAATAGATAGTGCTTTGGGGTATTGGATGACACCACCAATACACAAGTATAGGATTGAATATCAGTAGGGCTTTCATGAGAAGCAAAAATGTCATAATTGAGCTGATGGGCACAGCTGACTTACCAGCTGGTGGCTGAAAGAGGCAAGCACAAGGGCTTTATTCACTGAGACTGTTCTGGTTCCAGCACCACGCATCCATGTTTTGTACTCACTAGCAGTGGAATTTGTGCCAGTTTCTGACCACAGACATCTGCCACACATACAGAACTAGCTACTTGCATCCACATTACAAGTGTGGTAGATGATTGCCTGCTGCAAGACCCTAATTACAAATAGAAGACAAATTTACTGCAAGAAGAGCTCTTCTATGCCATAAATCACTCATGTAGACTGTACCTGGGTGTAACGAAGCTGTGAAAAGTGGTGTACTCATACTTTGTGATAAGAACAACTGATTGGGAACCACCTCATATTTCATCCAGGACACAAAATACCTGTACTCAAGCAGACTTATTCCTGCCTAGTGTCGTGCAATGGGGTGATCTCAGCTACGTAGCAATTCCTCCTCCTTCTTGTGTGGTGGTCTGTATAGCCTATGGATCATTATTTCAGAGGACTCCACAGATTTTTTTCTTTCCTTCCCAAAACTGTTTCTTTTCTTCTGTCCTGGCTGGCTCCATCATCTTGAGTTCAGCCAAGGGAGATATCAGTGCCACATGTGCAGTAGAGCATTAAAGAGTTTCAGAGTCAGAACTACTGTTCTGTTTGGAGACAAGCAGTGTTTGCTAATGCAGCCATACAGCTGTCCTCTGTGCTTCAGAATATTTCTTGCCACGTAAATCAGAGCAGACTTTATGTCCAGGCAAGAGCTACATTTTCTGAAATGCTGTAATTTTCAAGCTGTAATAAGCACCTGCTGGAGCTTTAGTTTAGTTTAGTAATGTGGACGTTGTGGTTGCAATTAGGCAGCTGCAGTAGATCCCTGACCAATCTTTATAGCCCTAGCTTTAGTGGATTGGTCACAAATGAGAGCAAACAAAGTTCTGTTAGATGGACAGACACCTTGACTTTTTCGTGCTTTCAACAAAGTTGAAACTTGCCAGTGACCTGAAGGCGTGTTCCTTTATGCTCTATGAGCTGCCAGTGATTTATGTGGAGTGCAGAATGTGTTTTTAATATAGCTTTCTCAGGCCTTGCTCCAGACACGAAGCTATTATGTGATGTTCATCTCATCCACTTCCCATCAGAGGAGTGCAGATCTTGCACTCGGTTTTATTACAGACCTTGCTGCTGTGTGCTTGATGGCTACTTCTTGTTAATTTGCGCACAGGCCAGGCAAGCCAACAGCAGCGTCTCTGTGTGACAGGGTCCAGTCAGATTAATGAAGACTTGCTGAATCCCAGGCACTGCGGTAAAAGATGTTTTCTCTGACAGCTGAACAAATTATTTCTCATTTATTTTACATCTGTGCCAGGTTAATGATGAATAAATAGGGTTTGTACCTGGCTGGGAGTGTTTATGACATTTTTGCAAGAATGAGCCAAGAGCAGTTTTGATTAAGGATTCTTGACCAAAGGTTAGGAAGGGCTTTTCAGCTTCTCTCCTCCATTTGAGGAATAATAATTTCTCAGGTCTGTGGGCCTCCAGTGCTGTCACACGCTGCGGAGTGAATGCAGAGATTAACTAGTCTTCTAAAGATAGAAGCACAGACAATGTGCTCATATTTCCACTGCACCTTCGCTGAGGTACAGAGGCTGACAGTGTCCTTGCATATGACCAGTTCACAGCATCCTTAGATTACAGCCTGCTTGTCTGCTTTTACTCCTTTTTCTCCTTCAAATCAGTATTGTTGTGTTTTCCTCTATGATCCTATGCTGCTAGGAGCTGGTTACTTCGTCTCCCTCAGGGGAACATTATGTAGTTCTGTGTGGTGTTTGCAGTGAGTGTATGGCCAAGAATCAAAAGCTACTATGCACACAGCATAGCGAAATGCACTTAAGATTGCTTTTGCTTGGCTTTCAGTCTCTGAGAAGGCAGCGTGGTGGGACATTCACCTTGCCTGACCTGAGCTGCTAAAATCTGGGCTGTAGCTCCATGGCGACTCAAGCAGTGATGGCTGGCTGTGCGGCCCAGTCCCCTTCTTGCGCTTCATCCCTTCCTCCATGTGATCTCTGGCACTGTGCCGTTTTGGCACTTCAAGCTGGCAAAACCTAACCTGGCAACAAAGATAACTGGCTCGTGCCAACAGAGCCATGGGAATCTCAGAGTCAAAGCAAAGGAGTGGAACACAGCAGGGCCCTTTTGGTGCCAGACGGCTCTTGAGTAAGCTCAGCAGTCCCTAAGCTGGGAGCTGGCATTGCTGGGGATGTGACGGGCTCCTGGGGGGCAAGTCGGCAGTGCACAGTGGTCACCCACCGTTAGTCTGTTCAGTAACGAAGAACTTTGGCTGGAAATACTGTTTCTCAGTTTGTGAGCTGTAAGATTGTACAATCTTGCATGCAATTTAGCACACCTGTCTTTGCTCATCTCAAACAACATCTGCAGAGATCAGGGCTGAGCAGGTCTGGCAGTTTTGAGAACAGTTAATCTCACCCCATCCCTTGGATGATAGTGAAACATCTGGCAGCTTGTCTGTCTTGACAAAGGTCTCTATCCTGTGTGATACAGGAAGAGAAGCTTAGTGATCCAGGTGGCCCAGCATCTTCTGTGGCCTCCCCAAACTACCAGATTAAAAAAAAAAAAAATCCTGTTGCTATGTAGTATTTGATTTTATACAGTGCAAATGTTTGGATCTGTTTATTTGTCTTAGTTGATTAATCACATAGAACTTGATGCATCGTGGACTCAGTAGCGGAACAGCAGCCAGAAATGGCCATGTTCTTAGAATGTTTAATTTGGAGATCTTTCTCTGTTATGTGCCAAATCTGTGGAGCAAGACCCTGAAGATGCACACAGCTGTGTCTCCAGGGCTCTCAGGTCTGGAAAGCGCATGTCCACTTGTGTACACAGATGTGTGCAATATCAAGCCCAAGGACTATCCTGTTAAGTGCTTTATTCTGAAACAGCTTTATTTGAAACAGATGATTAGTCACTTGTGTGCTGTAATCCGTGGAGGCAGTAAACTTCTTACACATGTACTTGCTGCTTAAATGTGTCCTAGCTGCAAATATTCGCAGCCAGGTAATCCTTTATCTCAGGATGCTTCAGCAGCTGGTCTTTCTCCTCTCCAAGAATAGCAACAAAGACTTGTTTTAATCCATACAGCTTGGCTCTCTTGATTTCGGATTGTATCATTTTAGGGAGGAAAGTCATTCGCTGAATTTCAAAGTTTCAAAGTTTTGAAGGCTGCTGATCTCTTGGGATACTCTGGAGAAATCATTTGAGGCTTTCAGCTGTAGGGCACAATGAGTGGGAAATTTATATTTATTAAGCTTTGTTCCAGATTTTCATCAGGCTCATATTAAGTGTTTCTTAATTAGCTCTAAATTATAATAATGGCCAAGCAGGGCATTGAAAGATCTGCAGCGTGCCACTAAACAAAGGCACTATTACTGTTATTTAGTAGTCTCTCTCATCAAGTCACATTGCAGAACACCTTCCTATTCTTGAGCCTTGGCTCACAAGGGAACTGCCCCTTGTCACTGGGTGGCCACGCACCAATCCAGCTGGGAAGTGGTCTCTGCACATTCTTCATGTCAAGCAAATGTAAGCAATATGACAAGTTAAACCATTAGGATTACATCAGTCTGAATTTCCTATAGACCAAGGACCCATGCATTAATTATACTTAATACTGTGATGTATGACAGTTTACTGAGCTAACATCCCTGTGTGTGAGTAGTAACTACCCTTCAGTGGCCAGTGTTGGCACATACTGATTTAAGGATGAAAACACTCTGACAGTGCTTCTCTATTGCATATACCAGAACTGCTAGAGCTTCTTTTATTCCTTGTTGAATACAGGAAGAAATGACATTTTTGCATTGCCATCAAATAATCAGTAATTTACCCTTTTGCTAAATTATGAGGTAGATTTAGCAGTATAACATGCCACGTAAGTTGCTGCACCTGATACGGCTTTGTCTTGTGGTTTCTTTTTCTTCCTGTGTTTTCTTGCTGCTTTCCACTGAGGGAGACAACTCAAAAAACTGAGTGATGGAAGTATTTTAATGATTGCACCATTAAATCATGGTACAGTGGCAAGAGGCCATCAGAATGAATAATGCTAATGGCTGGGACAGGATATTCTAGTCTAAGACAAGATTATGGATTTTAGTTCCTTCAGTGTTTAGTCCCTGACAAGGGAAGGTTCTGTCACAGCAAGTCAGCATCCTGCTAGGTTTTTCAGCTCTTGGCTCAGCTGTGAGCTGTTTCCCTAAGAAAACCTTTCTACTTCTTATTGTATTTTTTGGCAGTGTTTATGGTACAGAATCATTCCTAAAATCTTGTGAAATTGAAATGCAGTAGCTGAATTTTCTGTTGTTTTGTATGCAGATTTTATATAGTAGCTTCAGGTGTATTCTTTATGTTAATATTCTTAATGTTGTTTTCCTCAAGCATTAAATTAAATTTATTTTAAAATATTCACTGTATTTTATTCTATCAGAGTAAGCTGCAGGGAAAGTTATATAATCACACACACAGAGATACAGAATGGCTGAGGGTGGAAGGGACCTTGGATATCATCTGGTCCAAGCCCCCTTCTCAAGCAGGGATACCTAGAACACATTGCACGTGATCACATCCTGGTGGGTTTTGAATATCTCCAGAGAAGGAGACTGCTCAACCCCCCTGGCAGTGTTTTCCAGTGCTCTGTACCCTCACAGAACAGGATTTTTCCTCGTATTCATGTGGAAATTGCTGTATTTCAGTTTGTGCCTGTAGCCTCTTGCCCTGTCACTGGGCACCATTGAAGAGTCTGGTCCCATCCTCTTGACACCTTCCCTTAAGATATTTATAAGTTTAGATAAGGCCCAGCTCTCCCAGGTTTTCCTCCTGAGCGGTGCTCGTGTTCCCATCTCCTACTCATCCTTGTAGCTCTCTGCTGGACTCTCTCCAGTAGCTCCAGGTCTCTGTACTGGAGGCCCAGCACTGGACACAGCACTCCAGGTGTTCCTCCTCTGGGGCTGAGTAGAGAGGGAAGATCACCTCTCTCAAGTTCTTGGCAGTGCTTTTCCTAATGCACCTGTAAAATAACAATAATGCAACTGAAATCATTTGTAAGGGTATCTGACTGATTTCTAGGAGGGTATTTTCATTAGTCTTTTGTTTTCTACAGGTTTTTGTAGATTTACCTTTCTAAAGAAGACTAACACACCACCTTTGTTGGTTTAGCTCAAGAAATACAAGCAAGGAGACTGGTAAATGGTGAGGTTTTTACATGGAACTACTGCTAAGGGATGCCAAGTGCATGTTTTCTTCTTTTTCAGAGGTGTGTCAAAATGTAATTTCCACAGTAGCTGCTTTTTCTTTTTTTGTTCTTTCCCAGAAGTTTCGTTGTCTGTCAGAGTTGCAGTGTTTGCGTTCATTTCTGTTCCGATCTCTTCAATGCCATTGTCCAAGCAGAGCTTACCCAGCTTGGAGCTGGTATCGTGTTCCTCAAGCACCAAACTGTGTGAAGCTGCTAGCAGAGGCTCTGCAGCTGCTGTTTCCAAAAAGCTGCTGTCTCTAAAATTCTCTCAGTGCTGAATTTATTAATGTTTTCAGATGTGAACTTGATATTGTCTGTTTGCACATGAGTAGTGTGCGTGCAGCCTAACATAGAAGTGTCTCTACGCAGGATTTAGGAGGAGGCATAGAAAGCCCCTCAAACGTGTGTGTGCTTTTATTACAGAAAACCAAGATAAAGTTGTATTGTTGAGACATCTGTTAGCTGGTTTATGTTATGCTTTGTTTTCATGTTTTAAGTGCCTAATGATTTTTTTTGTCAAGGAGGCAATGGTTTCACTGGTATAATGTGTACTTGGAATTCTGCACTTGTTACTTGCTCTGTAATAGAATATTTTTGCAGTTTCTGTTTGGGAATAAAGACTTATTAGGCATAATTGTGATTTTATTTTTCCTTTTTGAATTCCTGAGTCTTAATAACAACTTCAGTCTTTTCTGTTCCTGTATGGCAGTGCAATTAACCATTTGCTTTTGTTACTTCTAATGCCCGGATTTTTATTTTTTTTATTTTTAAAAATTTTTTTTAGCAAATGAATTGAAGAAAAATCAAACAAGAAAAAAAATCATTCTCTAAATTCAACTATCAGATTGGAACAATATCCCTAAAAGCAACTGAACACTTTGAAATGTGATTAACTGGAAATGTTAAAACCAGTCATGTAAAAGATTTTCATAGAAAGTACTGATCACAGATGCACACCTAGTAGACACGTATCTTGTAGGCCACAAGGTTTTGCTTATAGAGTACATACACAGAGATCTGTAGTGAGTGAATTTCGAATGCATGAATTTCAGAAGAAAGTCTTTTCCTTCACTGCAGTTATTTTCCCTTCAAGGCACAATAAGGCCATATAGCTTCTGTGCTACTTACTGTGACTTCTCCAAATAGAAGCTGACCGTCTCATCAACTCAAGGCAAATAGATACATACAGCTGTTTTGTGATGTGGACTATTATCCTTTAGGGCCCTCTATGGACTGAACTGTAATTGCTAAATTTTATTACAGCCAAAAGAGAGGGTTAGAACTGAAAGGTTTTATTTGACATCACAGACCACCAAGTGGCTTCTGCCCAAAGGTGAAAGTCTGGGTGGTTGTCACCCCTCTCCTTCCTGTAGTGTGTCAGTCTTCCATAGATCAAAAAAAAACAAAGAACTTTGCTGGAATTGCATGTATGAGTGATACAGATGCAAATATGTCCTCATAAACCAAAATATTTCTAAAGCAGAAGTGTAATTTCTGCGGTGTAAAGAAATAAAAAATTAAAATGATCTTAACTATCTCAAATATTTAGCTGATTGGCCATTATTTGCCAAAAGAGCAGCACTGGCTTGTGATGAGGGCTGCTTGGTCCAGGTGCAAAGTAAGTGAGCACTGCCCTAGACAAGCCATTGCATCTTCCTCATCCTCTGCTCAGATAGGGAGCAGTTGGCAAAAAGCTGACGAGCAAGAGGAGAGCAGGAAGTGTCTGTGCCCTGAACTCAGATGGCCAGATAGTTTGCTTCTAAATCACAGCGAGCAGAAACCATCCTCCTATGGAGAGAGCATATTGGATGATGATAGCGGCCCTGCTATGGGAAACACACGGTCGTTGGTGTTAAAAGGACTGAAGACATTTTCATAGAAAGCACTGATCACGAATACACACCTAGTAGACACATATCTTGTAGGCCACAAGGTTTTGCTTATAGAGTACATACACAAATATCTGTTTGTAATCTTTTGTAGCAAGATTGGCCAAAACCAGGCTAGGTTTTCCTCCACCCTCAAAATACTGTCAGGTAAAAAGCGTCACATGAAGATGTTGCAACGTAAAGATACTTACGTTCATTTGGTTAGTCCAGGAGAAGAGAAAGGCTAAACCCAGTCCACACAATGAAAGTCATGGCAGTGGGCTAGCATTCTTAGGGTCGTGACCATACCACAGCCCTCAGCTGCAAAAATACACATATGGGCTGAAGAAAACTATCAGCATTTTAAAAAGAGAGAAGGAGCTTCCTCCTGAGGGGCCCTTGATCTAGTGTCTGAATGTGCCTGGGATTTGAGATTCATATACAAGTTTTAGCTTGTATACTCTTATATACTGCATGATTCTGTGCCATCCTCACTCTGTGGCCAGAGCCAATTCATTGCAGCTGGGAGCGGTAGATTCTCACAGACTGTGGGGACTGATAGATGGAACCATCTGGTAAATGGAGATGCCCTAATGAAAGCCTTAGCTCTTAAGTATATAAATGCAGATGAAACTCTTTTATCATGTAAGTGAAGAAAGAGAAAGTCCAGCAAGGACTGTATTTAAGCTGTTGCCCATTTTCTGCAGCACAGAGAATTAAAGCTGAATTAGTCCAGAAGGTCACGTCCTGCTGCTGTTATTGGAGGAAGAAATACTGGGTGTGCTGGAAAAAAATTATAAGTATTAGAAATGGAAAAACTTTCAACTTCTAAATTACTTTATTAGGCATTTTGGGAGACTTTAGGGGCAGAAATAATTGAACTGAATTGTAAAAGCCATGCTGCTTCTATAACTCTCAACCTGCAAGGGCATTAGTTCTTTTGTTCAGCTTTTAATATTCTATGTAAGATAGAAAATTGCTCTTTTACTATGTATGGAGTTTTACAGGAGAAAAAACACTCAGTAATGACCCCTCCATTTGAGCTTCACCATGAACAAATAAATACACGTTACGCAGAATTTGCTGTTTGCTAGGGAGGCAGTCCTGTACTTTCTCTACCATCTAACAGGGCTCAGTCCTTGTCTCTGCCTCAGGACTGTGATCAACTCCTGCCTGGAATGGTCAGCAGCTGGGTGCCTACAGCTCCTTCCAGAAAGGCAGAAATTGCAAATGTGAATCACCTGTAGGAGAGGAAAGAGTTGGGCTGTAAGTATGATGCCTTGGTAAACATCCTAAAACTGGGTTATGATATAAAGGAGGAACAAAGGAATCTCATCCTACCTGGATTTTAAATGAATCAATTGTGGTCTTCCAAAATGCAGAGTTGTTGGGGAAGGGTTCAGGGCTGATTGCAAAGAAGACAAAAATATTCTCTGAGGCAGTGGAAGAGAAGTAAAAGAGGCCAGATTTAATATCTTTTGGATACATTTATGCTCAATGTGTTACAGAGAAATGTGATGAGGGAAGGGTGAGGGATCGTTATTAAGTGACATGGGTGATGACCTACATGGGGAGATTATGGTACTTTAATGTTAAACGTGCTGTTGCTCATCAAATGCTAAAGTTGAATAACTTCCTTTCAAAGAGCCAAACATTGAAGTTCCAGATGGCAGCTGCAGGAGGCAGATCTAGTAGCTGTGACACAGGTTGACTGGCTGGTTTTGGGCACCTCGCTTTGCTATAAAGCTGAATGAGGCAGTAGAGGGGAAACAGCCTGAGATTTGTCTTGCCAACTACAGTCTCAGCTTCAAGGTAGGATGACTTGTGTGCTAAACTCTGTGGTCCATAATAACCAGATGCTTTTTCATAGCCAGAGTAACTACTTGGTATGTAAATTTCTACATCACAAACTCCTGCTCTTTTTTAGATGAGTCCCACCGTTCCTGTCCAACAGTTCTCTTCCCTATGTTGAATGGTTTTTTACAGTGCCTTAATTACAGAGCTCTGAACTCTTGGCCCTGCTTGCTGTTCTATAATATGGATAATAATTTCTAGGATGAAATCTCTTTTTCTGAATATATTTAACATCTTTTATAAGAGTCTAAAATAGAAACTCTGAGAACATTAACTTAGAGCACTTTTCAAGTTCATCTTACTTGCAGTTCATTAAAGTGAAGTGACAAGTGAGGTGTGACGTGAAGTAATTATACTGATTGTGTTGTATGTTCTCTGCAGGAGCTGAATGATTTGCTGAGGATATTAATTTCAAAAGCCAGACAGCAAGAGATCAGCTGAGATGAAAGATCACTGCAAAGTGACCTCACACCAGGAGAAAAGAAAAGGAGAAGAGGAGGGTGTGGTTAAGAGCAGGAATTTAGTGCTGTATAGTCTAGCAGTGAACCACAGCAGATGCATTTTGATGCCAAAGGTGATCTTCATGTGACTATGGTCACGGTCTGTGGAGAGAAGGGGAGCATAATTCACCTGGCTTATTTTAGATATCAACATCAGGATGTGGTAAATTAATACCCAAGGCTCACAGGTTTATAAAACTTGGTCAGAATTTCTGCAATTAGATGCTTCACTTCCAGGGTCCACGGAGTTGGTGAAGTGTAGGTGTGTACAAACCTAAAATGAGCCACCACCTGCCTTATCTATACGTAATCATGAGCTTGTCTGATCACTACACCTGTGACATTAGATTTCGTGACAGTGGAAATTGTAGCTAAGTAGAGACACCATATAATGAGAACTAGTTGATCGGGACCTTTGTCAACAACAAACACAGTAAACTAAATTTCTTTAATCTTTAAAATAATTTTCAGTCATGAGAAGTTAATAAGAGTTTCAAAGCTTTTCTCCATGAAATGTTCACTGTTGAAATCAGTTTTGAATTTGTGTAGTTAAACTGTTATACATCCCTGAACAGATAAATTAAAATTAGTTTAATCCTATTGTACTTTGACTTTAGCTTAGTTTGGCAGTCTAGCACTGCAAGTAATAGTGCTTTCACTTAGGGATTGTCACTGCTTCACTTTAGTAAATTAATTAGCAGGACATAAAGTGAATGAATCTGAGGGGCTTTGAGAGCTAGATCTTCCCCAGAGAGCTAAAACCACTGGTAGGTGGGTGCCACTTCTCAGTGTAACACAGCATTAATGAAGAGGTTGTCATGAAGCTTGTTTAGGTGGCATATTCTCTGAGTCTGCTTATCTATGCTCAGAGAAGGAGGTAGGCAGAAGGAAAAGCATGACCCAGTGTTAACAAGGACCTCCATCTTTGATCCATTCCACACTACTTCATCTATCATCTGCCAGAATAAAAAAAACAAAGACTAACTACATTCGTTTGACTGAAGCGTTGATTTGGCCAAGAAACAATGCTTTGTCACATCCAAACAAAATGAAAACAAAAATCTGTAAGCAGCATAGCCATCATGGTTACTGACTCAGACGCTACAGGGCTAAACACAGGCAGTTCCTGAGCTGGATGCTTGAGGATCCCTGGACAACTGTATTTTCAGCTGATAAGGCTCAGTCTGTACTGAAGAGGAAGCTGGCCAATGGAGCCTATCCTCTGAAAAGCTAGAAGTCTGGGTGCACCTGATCCTCATTAGCTGTCAGTGAACTTTTTGGAAATGGCTCTTTTGTCTCCTCCACCATGGTGATGATATACCTCCAATAAAGCTAATTCGGACAAGGGGTTTAGCTTTTTGACAGGTAATGTAGAAGAAAGGATCACCTTGCTCACTGATTAAGGTTCTATC